CTTGCATCATCAGGAAATAAAAGCTACGCTACAGGGGAATACATCAACCAGAGCTGAGAGCAGAAGTTCTCTCCACATAAGCTAATTAATCTTTTTTCATTACAGAACCTCATGAGCGTAAGAAAGCAAAAAAGCGAAGCCAAATAGGATCTTCAGATGCGAGCACCAGCTTCCACCTCTCCATCCCACAAGCTCATGCGCCCCCTCCTTGTCTCATTTCCATGCAATTCGCATCAGTTCTCCACGCCGCTTGTCCAGTAGAAGAATGTATCGTTGAAGCAGGGTTGCTTGAGCATCGTCGCAGAGAACCTTTCACTGATGTAAATAACAGCTTAGCTTTGCAAGAATGCAGTTCATGTTTTTCCACTTCTTCCCCTGAAAACAAAAGTTGTTTCTCAGTCTCCACAAGCTCCACAAGATAGCAGCAATTACCATATTCAGCATAGGTTTTTTTTATGCACATGCCAAAAGGCATAAATATTTTCAAAGTTAGTTATTCTATCGATCTCAAAGAAGCTAGAGACAAAGTCCCATACATATTGAGCAACCACACAGTCAAATAGCAAGTGTTGGACAGTTTCATATTCAGCACAGAAGAGACAAGATGGATCCTCTACATCTCTCCTTTTAGCAAGATCATCTCTAGTTAGGATTTTGTTGTGGACACACAGCCATAAGAACACATGAATTTTTTGAGGACATAAAATTTTCCAAAGATCATCTCTGATAGCAGAAGCTATCCCTCCAAAGTTAATATGTTTATAGAAGGATTTAACTGAATATAACCCATTAGACTCCAAAGACCAAATTGGTCTATCAGAATCAGCTGTCAATGGGTGCTGCTGAACAACATCCAGAAGCTGTCTCCAGCGATCTAATCCACCTTGATCAACACATCTCCTAAAAGTCAATCTAAGGTCATATCCGTCCCACACCTGAGCCACAATGCACTCAGTTTGATTACAAATGCAAAATAGGTCCCAAAATTGCACCTTTAAGGAGCATTTCCCTATCCAAATATCATGCCAGAAGCTGATTAGTTCACCATTGCCCAATCTCCATCTTTAGAAATTTTTAGCAGTTGTCAAAGCCCAGGTGATGCTCTTCCAGAAGGTAGAGCCCCCATCACCTTTTGCCCAGAGGAGATTGGGAGAATTCACCCTATACTTATGTAAAATAATCTTTTTCCAATCTGAGTCAGTATTATCAAAATACCTTTTCCCCCATAAAGCAAGTAAAGGCATATTAAATTCTTTGATGTTGGGTATCCCAAACCCCCAAACTCTTTCTTCCTAGTGATGAACCCCCAATTGGCTAAATGGCACTTGTGTTGGCCACCAACATCTCCCCAAAAGAAGTGTGCCATCTGTGAATTGATAGCGTTGATCGCCCATTTAGGGAATTTAATCACAAACATGAGATAGGCAGGAATACTAATCAAACAAGCACAAAGCAGAATGATCTTCCCTCTATAAGTGAGATATCTCCCAAGCCAGCTAGATATGCCTTTTACAATCCTATCAATAATGGGATGGAGATCTTCCCTTTTCAGTTTGTCATAGTGCAAAGGCACTCCTAGATATTTGATAGGGAAAGATCCCCTTTTACAACAGAAAATCTGGGCAATTTCATTAGCCGCTGCATCCTCCACATTTATCGTCATCAAATCACTTTTGTTAAAGTTAATTTTCATCCTAGAGAGGTTTTAAAAGCAAGACAAAAACCACTTAAAATTTCTAGCTTTATGAACAGAATTTTCCAAGAAGAGGATAATATCTTCTGCATATTACAGACTTACTACCCCTCCCGGAATTACATTGGGCAGAAGCCTAGAAATTAAATCTTGAGAAGCAGCCTTTTTCAATATTTTTGTAAAAACATCAGCCACCAAGTTAAACAACAAGGGGGAATGCGGGTCCCCTTGTTTAATCCCTCCCCCCCATGAAATAATTATCATTAGTATCATTGATTCTCACAGCGAACGTGCTATTAATCAACATACTTTTAATCCAAGAGATCCATTTGGGGCAAAAACCTCTAGATTGAAGCATTTCAAACAGAAAATCCCAGTTGACTCTATCATAGGCTTTTTCATAGTCTAATTTGAGAACTAAACCTTGAGAACCCGATTTCTTAACCTCATGGATCACTTCATGTGCCATCACTACACTCTCCAAAATATATCTACCTTTGATAAACGCAGTTTGATTTGATGAAATTAATCTACGACCAACGGGGGAAACCTTGTTGGTCCTAGCTTTTGAGAAAATTTTAATTCCACAATTACTCAAACTGATCGGTCTGAACTTTTTCATATCCTTGGTATCAGATTCTTTCGGGATAAGAACAATTAAAGCAAAGTTCAATCTCTGCATGTCCAATTTACCCTCCTCAAAGTCTCTAACTAGAGCCATGAAATCAGTTTTGATCACCTCCCAAAAGGTTTGTAAAACAGAAAGGACAGCCCATCGGGACCAGGGGCCCCATGTGCATAAGAACCAAATATTGCCTCCTTAATTTCTTCCTCAGAGAAGCTTCTCTGGAGAAGGTCATTTTCTTCTTGGGTAACCAAGTCACTGTCTTCCCAGAAGGAAGGGCCAAGATGGATGTTAAGTTTATCCTCAACACCAAATAGGTTTTTATAAAAGTTAGTAGCTACATCCAACATTTCTTTGGTAGTATAAACATGGCCATTATCTCCATTCAATTCAGAAAGGTGGTTTTTCCTATATCTATGATTAGCCACCGCCTGAAAATATGCATTATTTTTATCACCATCAACAATCCTACGATCTCTGGATCGCTGCCAAAAGGCAGTTTCTTCTTTACTCCAAATACCAGCAAGTTCTTTCTTAATCTCCTCCATTCTAACTCTATCTACATCATTAATTTGATTCTTTTCGGAGAATACATTGAGAATATCAAATTCGAGCAGAAGCTCTCTCTTTTTTCTCTTGATGCCTGCCTCAATATTAATACTCCAGCCTTTAACCTTCTTTCCGAATAACCTACATTTGTTCATCCAAATATCTATGGCTGTTTTACCAGGGACTGGAGTATTCCATATCTTGTTCACCAGATCCTTAAAATATGGTTGGTTAAGCCACCATTTCTCAAATCGAAACATTTTTGTGGAGGTAACCCTCC